GTCTCTAATTAAAGCACATAACGTCTAGATCAAATGTCTCGATTTTTTCCAGTGTATAAATTGACGCTGAAAAAATACTTTTTCAATATTCCAAAGTAACTTACGATATATGTCTTTCATCATTAAACTATAATCAAAATTATTTTCAGAGTTATATCTAGCTATAAATGTTTAGATATTTCTGCAAAATCGATTCTTCCATTTCTATTACGAGAGATAAAATAATTAATATTGACAGAAACACGCTTATTACATGATTCTGTCCGGGGTAGAATACACTGAAAGATACAACACACGGATAACAATAGAAACTCATGTACCGACTTGATTAATTGTCAATTAAACAATAATGCTGAAATTATCGTGTGAAAGTAAGATGATCGCCAGTTGCGGTCTTAAAGGTTGAAATAAAATTCCATCACACCTCACCGAAGGGATGCTATTAAACGCGAAATACGTCATCGCCGAAGATAGATGAAAATTCCCACCGTCGGGATATGACTAATGATTATGATGCCGGCTCTAAAAGAACGCGATTGGTCGTGGCTAAACGGAACCGTATGTCCAGCGATTTATCTTTAATTGATCCATACGGTATGTGCGGATGTGATTTTCGAGATGAAATATTCCCCTACAAGCGGATCACACTTTTAAAAGAGCGACGACGGGGTTCGCCCTGTCCGTTGCGCCGCGCCGTGCCGTGTCCCGCGGAAAAGCAGCCATCCGATTAGCCTTCCTGACTGTGAGTGATGGATGTTGACTTTACATATATTTCCTTTTCGCCATGGTCCCCCCTTTCTATCGACTCGCGAACCCGATTGCAATATCCAGTGTGTACACTGCGTCGCGAAAACGTTATGCCGTCGCGATATCTCCACCCCGCCAGAGTGACTCCACCGTCTCTCCTCTCTGCCGTAGAATCACACATTACAACGCCTGGTTACATATCGTTACTGGTTTCATATTCTTTCGAGAGCCTTTAATTACGTCATGTCTTTACGTGCGACGAGACGATTTCGCGAACTCCCTCATATATTCCGCCAATTATTATATATAAATTTCCGAAAAGAGTGGACATCTCTCTCTTCTCACGATTGAAGGACTAATCTGTGATAAATAAAAAGTATCTCGTAATTAGCTCGATGAATTTTTATAAACACAGATTTCTCACTTAAAACCGAGACTAAAATTTTTCTTGGAATAGCCGATAGTCGCTGATTGATTATTTGTTACAATTTTTTTCTTTCGCGGGAAAGAAACCAGTGGCAGATAATATACGTAGGGTGCATCTTTTGCATTCCATAGAAAAGAGATGATATTTGAGAAATGATATCGGTTTAAGCTTAATACGTCGAAAATTGAAAGCCGTGTCCGAAAGACGTCTGTATTTTCAAATCTCTCATCCTTTATCACGTCGGAAATGTTAAAGCAGCACGTACATTTGAGGGCGAGCAACTTCATCTGCGGGGTATTCAACGGCAGGAGATGGGATCTTATCTCTGTATCGCGTCGAACGGAGTGCCGCCGTCGGTCAGCAAGAGATATTACGTCAACGTCCGTTGTAAGTGTACGCGTGTTGCTCCTAGGTAGGAACTTCCGTTCGGCCAAGTTACACGACTAATTGCATCTTTCTCGTTAAAGTCAAACCGCTGATTAAAGTCTCAAACCAGTTAGTAGCGGCACCCGTCGACAGCGACGTCCTTCTTCAGTGCTACGTGGAGTCTTCGCCGAAGGCTCTAAACACATGGTACAGAAATAATGGTGAGAGACCCA